TCCTGGAGGAATTGAAAAATTAAATCACAGATGACTTGGTACCACTGTACTGCATAGGTTTTCTCTAGAAATTTAAGCATTCTCAGTTATTTTGTAAGCAATATATCTGTTGAAGATATGTAAATGGTAAGACTTAGGGAGATAGTATGTTCCAAACTGTCTAAGGCATCCTAGATTCCAATCACAGTAGATGGAATCACATTTTATTCAAAAATTATATATTTTTAAAATGTTAAAGTTCTCCAAATAGGAAAGAGATGTCTCATATTGATCTGAAACTCATCCCTTTACGTTTTCTGTAAAATTAGAGTAATCTGTTTCTATATGTGTCACAGGCTTTTTAAAGATTAAACCTGTAAGGGTGCTAACTGAATGTAAGGTATGATTTACAGCAATATAAAATATCCTAAGTCAAGAATTATTGGAAGATTCTACAATAGATCTTGTCTATTTGCATATGCTTTTAATAATTTGGGGAATTTTATGGACTGTACCGTTGTGTACATCTCTGTTGTTTGATTAAGAGCATATAGGAAATAAGCATATAGATTACTAGCAATAAAAAAAACATAATATTTTCAAAAATATTTTCTGGTGAGTAACAGCAGAGTTATTGGAAGATTTCAAAAAAGTGTGATCAGATGTATGTAATGATAACATTTATCTGATAAATATGCACTGTAATACAGGTATTTTAAAGAGGATTTTTAAAGCGTTAACTCATTCTATCTTTATAAAAAAAAAAAAACTCTGTAAGTCGCGGGGAAAAATTTTTTTTTAAATCTCAGAGGCATCATTTAACTTGCCTAGTGGCAAAATAGTTGGTCGTAGAGCAAGAATGTAAGCCCAGGTTTATTTGATCTGAAACTTCCTGATATTTGCTATGTATGTAGATCAGAGCTAGTGGCTATATGTCTCCTGTGAGTTCAATAAATGCAGAGCTTGCTGTCAAGAGAATGATGAAAGAAGCAGGAGACAGATGCATGTGTGTTGGAACTGGTATGTTTACATAGGTAAAAGATTGTGGAAAAGAAAAATAATTCCAAATAAGGGAAAACTTCTGGGAAGAGAACTAAGCTCACATTTGTGCTTTATAGAGGTCTGTAAGTAGAAAGAACAGGATGCCTTGAATTAGAGGTCAAAACACAGGATATATTGATCACATATATATATATATATATAAAACAGATGCCTTGAACTAGAGGCCCGAACAATTTTCTGCAATGCCGCACAAACAAGAGATTTGATAAGAATGTATGATATAGATAAGGTTGTGATCAAATTTTTACAAAATTTATAAGCAATTGACTAATGTAAATTATGTTTTTAATATGTAACTCTAAACTGCTCTGTAGAAACTGAGAAACTGAATGCTTTTGAAGAAAGGACTGACACAATCCAACTGTATTTTTGAAAAATCCAAAAGTAATGTGTTGGATGGATCAACGAAAATAAGATTAATTTTATCCACAACCTTAGGAGGTGCAGATGCAAAGATTTTTCTTACAACAGAGGTACCTAAGAGCCTTTTCAAATGGCGTTGACAATCCTTTCTATGAGATGTGATTTGGTAAATAGGCCAGAGGATGTATTTGGTAAAGAATTGCTGAGTTTTCAGCAAGGACAATTTTTGCATGCCATTTTTGTCTTTAACATAGTGCCTAGTTTTGTTCCTTTGTTTGGAGGTAAGAGAATGATTTGTGCATTGTCAGAATGCAGCACATCCAGGGCAGACACCGGGTTCAGTTATCCCAATATTTAAGCATTGCCTCTTGCCTCATTTTTCTCTCCTTTATTCCCTATTCCTCTCAGCTTCTCCACAACACTAACATTTCTTGTTTTGAAGAACATTTCTTCTGTCTTTTGATACTCTTAATGTGAACTGTCGCTATTCAGTAAACATTAATTGTTTCTCTCTTCCTTTTTCTCCACTATTTCAAATTCCCCTTTCCTCAAGCTATCTTTGTAACACTTCTTTTATCCTTAAAAATAATTACTAAGAAAACAAGTACAATGTTTAGCTGAAACTGTACCTTAAATTATTTCAATATGTTTCAGACAAAAAAAGCTCTTAATTTCATACTACAAGAGACTTGACTAGAATTTATGAATATAGATAAGGTTGTGATCAGACTTTCACAAACATGATAAGAAATGAAGTAAATGTAAATTGTTTAAGTGTGTAACTTTAATGTCTATACTAATCTTTCATACTAATATAGCTATAAATAAATGTATTCTTCTTAATACCACTTAACTGGCTTTTACTAAGACATTGCTTGTGTGAGGGTGATGTGATGGAGACTGAGTTGAGTGTTTAGAAATAAGTGCCTAGACAACCATGAAACACTATTCACTTTAGTCTCCTGTGATAGGACAGTGAAGGAAATAATTTGTGGGTTTGACTTTGGCAAAAAGTGAATTAATGCAATATTAATATAACCTAAGATAAATGTATTCTTCTAAGCATGCTTACTTTAGAAAGATATGAAACATGGAAACATTAGAGGAATGTATAGGCTGAGCCTTACCATCTACACAATAGATATTGTGTTTCTCTACCAGGAACTAACAACTAAAACTGTTTCAAAACTCAAATTTATCAAAATATTGCTAATTGACATTAACAGAAAGCAGCAAGTTTTAACCACTTCTACTACCCCACATCGCTATTCTTCAGGTGGGTCCTACTATTGGATGATGTGAAGAGATAATTTTATTTATGTGGACAAAACGTGCAAAGGTATAGACTTAAAACATGCTGCAGTGTGTTGTTAATACAGAAGGCATGAAAAGGAGCTGTGAACAAAAACTTGAATGGAAAATTAAACCTAAGTTGAGTCAGGTCCTGTCACTGAGTTAGTAATAGGAACAAGAACAACACAGTGCTAAAGGATCACAGCATTTTCTTAAAAAGTTTGTCTGAAAGGGAAATTTAAATTTAACAAAAAGCTACTGCAAATAATTTGATTTGGAGCTTCAGATATATATTAATTGCAGTATGCCAACAACATTTCAGTTCTCTAGATGATCTCAGCTATGTACGTAGGATTATGGTTCAACAGTGGTGCAAGTCCTTGGTTAGGCAAAAAGATAAACAAGAAGAAAGATACAGATAAATGAAGTACAGGGTCTGTGGAGTTCTTCAGGATACACAGCTTTCTTAGCATTCCTGATTTTTTAATTTATAGACTAGTTAATTATGTACTTTGGGTCCAACTTGAAAGAATTAGTGATTTTGGTATTTTGGTTATCTTTCTAGAACCTTAGTAGCACATTAAGTTAAAACTTTGCTTTGTACAAAATGAAAAAAGTTGTGTTTTTAGGAGCTGACTCAATATGTTTATTTTTCCATATGTTTTAAGTTGTACTTATATTTCAGTCATTGGGAGACAGAGAATTCCACACAGTATAACATCATGAGTGAACTCAATTAAAAAAAAAAACATATTGCTTATTAGAGGTACTGCAGTTGATTCAAGTGATGTAGTAATTTTCTGCTGGGCAATAAATTTCCTAGCAAACATGAAAAATTATGGACATTCTTCAATATTAACAACTTTTCTGTGGAATGTATAATGGAAAGTTTGTACAATGATGAATGACAGAGGAATGTTTGAGAACATATAATTTGCAATTGTTTGAAGAAAAGTGGGAAAAGTGATAATAGCTGAAAAAATCAAGTAGCACGTGTTATACTTATTCACACAATAGGAGGTGGATTTTTTTATAACATTGTAAATGTAGAAATATTTCTAGAGATTATAGAACTGATTTGGAATTTTCGAATGTAGTGCTGAGTTATAATTGGAATGCTGTTTTATTCATAGATTGGTGATTATTGAACAGATAAAAAGTCTGAGGGGACACAAAAATTAATAAGACTGGGCAATTTGCTTAGAGGGTATTAGATAAGAAAGAAAGGAAGGCAATTCCTTGTTTTATGAAAAAAGAGGCACAAGAAGAAAATGGAGTTGTACAAATAGACAATTATAAGGATGCTACTTTTTAGTCACAGAAATATTCCTTAATGGGTCTTTCTAAAGTAAATGAGTATTAATTTTTTATAAACTAGAATAGAGATAAGATAGATATAGGCTGCATTATCTTCAGTAGTATTCAAAACACTTACATTGTGCAAACTATATTCCAAGTAAGTTTTTACATACTTTAAAATATGATTTTATCTAGTCTTCATAACACCTTCTGACAGAGATATTATAAACATCCAAATTTACAAAGTGGAAGATAAGGCTTAGAGAAATTAATAATTGTCTAAGGACACAGCCACGAGTCTGAACAAGGAGTTTGAACCATGCTCTCACACACTCCTCTAGACTGGTTCTTCAATAAAATGGGCAACATCTGAATGCCTCATGGACATATTTAATTTTTAGATATGGAGGGAGGGAATGGCATATTGGTGAGGACCTTCTTCTGCTAAAACTAGCAGTAAGTGTCAAGTAACATATTTCTCATAAGGTTATTTCAATTTCTTCTGTTTACTTGGCATTTAACTAAGAATGTCTCATTTTAGTACATTGTTTCCATCTATAATTTCCTAGACAGAATTTTGCTAACCTCAGAGGGTGATGTGGCCAGTTCCATGGCAAATATAATGGTAATGTCATGGAATTCCCAGAAATTCATGAGTCTTTTCATGATCTTAGTATAATTATGAAAGCATGATCTATATTATATTTTTGAATTGACTTGTTGCTCAAATTTAATATAAGACTTGAGAAAAATATACCCTTTTTTACAAGGAAAATACTATGTCTGTTAGCTATGTATTTTGCATTTAAAAATCACATCAAGATCAAAATAATTATTAAAATCACTAGTTTACAAATAAAAAATTTGATGTCCAGAGAAATAATTTTTCCATGTTTACATAGTTTTGCACACGTGTTGATCTAGGAAGTAAATCCTTGATATTTTCAATGACAAAATTCTGGTCATTATCACATGTTATATTCTCCATAGTGACCATATTCATCATGGCATGGGATAATCAGACCTCCAACTCTGACTTCCTCCTGCTAGGAATCTTCAATCACAGTCCCACCCACACCTTCCTCTTCTCTCTGGTCCTGGGCATCTTTGCAGTGGCCTTCATGGGGAACTCAGCCATGGTTCTCCTCATCTACCTGGACACCCAGCTCCACACCCCTATGTACTTCCTCCTCAGCCAGCTGTCCCTCATGGACCTCATGCTCATCTGCACCACTGTTCCCAAGATGGCCTTCAACTACTTGTCTGGAAAGAAATACATCTCTCTGGCAGGTTGTGGAACCCAGATATTCTTCTATGTGTCCCTGCTTGGAGCTGAATGTTTCCTGTTGGCTGTGATGGCTTATGATAGGTATGTTGCCATTTGCCACCCATTAAGATATCCAGTTCTCATGAGCCAAAAAATCTGTAGTCTCATGGCTACTTCTTCTTGGATCCTTGGTTCCCTTGATGGTGTAATTGAAGTTGCAGTTGCACTGTCCTTCTCATACTGTGGTGCCCGGGAAGTACCCCACTTTTTCTGTGATGTTCCTGCCCTTCTTACTCTCTCGTGTGATGACACCCTGATGTTTGAAAGGATGATATTCATCTGCTGTGTCATTATGCTTCTTTTCCCTGTAGCAGTCATAATAGCTTCCTATGTTCATGTCATTCTGACTGTAATTCGCATGGGATCTGGAGAGAGTCGCCACAAAGCCTTTGCTACCTGCTCTTCTCACCTTATGGTGGTGGGAATGTACTATGGAGCAGCCATGTTTATATACATGCGGCCCACTACTGATCGATCACCCACCCAGGACAAGATGGTGTCGGCCTTCTATACTATCCTCACCCCCATGCTGAACCCTCTCATCTACAGCCTCCGCAACAAAGAGGTGACCCGAGCATTCATGAAGGTGTTAAGGAAGGACCAGTCTGGAGAGCAAATTGTCTAATTACATTTTGCTTTCTTCCACATACTTGGTGTTCTACTTAAATATAATGATTGAACCAATATAATCCAGCACTCAATAAATACCCAGCTTTGTAGATTTACAGGAAGTCACAGGAGATAAGAAATTGAAAAAAAAACTGTTTGGATTCTTATTTATTTAACTATTTTGTGTGTTTTTGTTGTGGTTAGTTTACTATATGGCTAAGTAAATATTTGTTGCAATAGAAAATGCACACCTGTATACTTTGTCTTTTTAATACCATTTAAGAAATGAGAGACCTTTGACAATTGCCGTACCTTATTGCTTGAATGTATATATTAAACCTAGTATCATTTCACAAACATTAGATTTAACCTTCACAAATAATTCTGAGTTCAGTTTCATAATTTAGACTTATTTGTTAATATAAATCACCATTATTCATCTACAAATTTAATAGTATGCTTTTATTATCATTTTGAAAACTAAATTTAACTTAAATAAAGAAAAAAGACGTATAAAACTGAGGTTTAAGTATATTGTTTGTGTCTTATAATGGATACTATCCTTCTTTGGGGTGTTGGAGGATTTGAGAGATCTTGTTTATTATTTTCCTCTACCGGCATTAATCTTACATATAGGAAACCAAAATGTCAATAAAAATCCTCTCAGTGTGGATTTTACATATTTAAATATTCTAATCTTTCTATGGGTAATGCAATACACCTGCATTAAATTAATTAATTTTTTGATTAATTAACTAAGTGGTAATTTGATACATTTTTAATAGAGAGGTCTGTGTTTTCTGAAGTCTGCATGTTTTCCATAACATTTCTATAAATATTGTTGTCATGATGTTTATATGAGATTAATTGTAATTATGAAGATTCTTATGTTCTTAAAAGAAAAAATCTGAGCCGGGCTTGGTGGCTCAGCCTGTAATCCCACACTTTTGGGAGGCTGAGGTGAGTGGATTGCCTGAGCCTGCGGGTTCGAGACCCGCCTGGGCAGCGAGACCTCATCTCTGCAATAAATCAAAAATCAGCCAGGTGTGGTAGCGCATGCCTGTAATTCCGGCTACTTGGAAGGCTGAGGCGGAAGGATCGCCGGAGCCCAGCAGGTCGAGGCTGCGGTGGCCGGGAGTGGCCACTGCACTCCAGTCTGGGCGACAGAGTGAGACTCCAACTCAAAAAAAAAAAAAGAAAAAATCTGCAATTCTTTAACATGTGTTAGCAGTTGTATAAAAAATCCATGTTAATATTACCACTGTATTAGGTTTTTCCCTCCTGCATAATTTCCATAAACTTAGCAGCCTTAAATTGCATCTATTTATTTTGTCACAATTTATATGAACTTAAGTCTTCACATGCCTTAACTGGGTATTCTTTCTGATCAAGGTTTTACAAGGTTACAAGGCAAGTGTTAGCTGGAGCTTCAGTGTTAGGTGAAGCTCATGGGTTTATTCTAAGCACAAGTAGCTGAAATAATTTATTTGTTCATAGCTGAATGACTCTTGGTAACTTGCTTTTTTGGCAGAAGAGTTTTTCTGACTTCAGGAAAAGCTTTCATTTTCTTTTAAAGATCTGCCAAGTAGTGAAATCAAGTCAACTTCAAAATATCTGCTTTTGTTGGAATTTTTCCTGTCTTTCTTTTAATTAATTAATCTGTTTTCCATATCTCTTTAAAATTTTTATATAAAGCCAGGCTCGGTGGCTCAGCCTGTAATCCCACACTTTGGGAGGCTGAGGTGACTGGATTGCCTGAGCCCGCGGGTTCGAGACCTGCCTGGGCAACTTGGCGAGACCTCATCTCTACAATAAATTAAAAAATTAGCCGGGCGTGGTAGAGCGCGCCTGTAGTTCCAGCTACTTGAAAGGCTGAGGCGGAAGGATCACTGGAGCCCAGCAGGTCAAGGCTGCGGTGGCTGGGAGTGTACCACTGCACTCCAATCTGGGCGACCGAGTGAGACTCCAACTCAAAAAATAAATAAATAAATAAATAAAATAAAGTACAATTTTTATATAAATGCAGATGTTTTTACATGCATATCCTGCATAGTGGCGAATTCTGGGCTTTTAGTGTACCTGAATAGTGAACATTGTGCTCAATAGATTATTTTTCAAGTCTCACCCCAGTTCCAACCTACTACATTTTATAGTATCCAGTGTATGTTATTCCATTCTCTATGCCCATGTGTACCCATTGTTTATCTCCCACTTGTAAGTGCGAATATGCAGTATGAGACTTTCTGTTTCTGAGTTATTTCACTCAGGATAATGGCATCCAAATCCATCTATATTGCTGCAAAAGACATGATTTCATTGTTTATCATGAATGAGTAGTATTCCCTGCTGCTGCAAAGTCCATATGTTTGTCCTTCTTTATGGCTGCATAATATTCCATTGTGTACACATATCACATTTTTTATCCAGTCCAGCTTTGATGGACAGCATGGTTGGTTCCACAATTTTGCTGTTGTGAATAGAGTTGCAACAAACATGCATGTGCAGGTATCTTTTTGGTAAAATGACTTGAGTTCCTCCAGGTATATTCCCAATAGAGGGATTGCTGGGACATATGGAAAGTCAATTTCTAGTTCTTTCAGAAATCAATTACCACACTGTCTTCCAAAGATGTTGCACTACTTTACCTTCCCACCAGTAGTGTAGAAGTGTTCCTTTTTTGCTGCATCTTTGCTAGCATCTGTTGTTTGCATTATTAGTGATGGTCATTCTTACAGGGTTATGCAATATCTCAATGTGGTTTTGATTTGCATTTCTCTGATGATGAGTGAGGCTGAGCACTTTTTCATGTGTCTGTTGGCTGCCCGTGTATCCTCTTTTGCGAAGTGTCAATTTGAGTCTTTTGCCCACTTTTTAATGAGGCTCTTTGTTTTTTTCCTTTCAGCACATTTGAGATCCTTGTAGGTGCTGGATGTTAGGCCTTTGTCAGATATACAGTTGGCAGATATTTTTCCCATTCTGTGGACTGTCTTCCTGCTCCTTTGATGGTCTCTTTTGCTTTGCAAAACCTTTCAGTTTGATGAGGTCACATTTGTCTATTTTATCTCTTATGTACAGGTACTTGGGGTTATGATCAGGAATTGGTTGCCAATTCCAATTTCCATAAAGGTATCTCCTGTATTTTCTAAGATTCTTATAGTTTGAGGTTTAACATTTAGGTCTTTGATATATTAGAGTTAATTTTTGTGTATGGTGATAGGTAGAGGTCCTGTTTCAATCTTCTGCATGTGATCACCAGTTTTCCCAGCACAATTTACTGAATAGATTCTCCTCTCTCCAGTGGTTGTTGTTGGAGGCTTTGTCAAAGATGAGTTGGTTGGGAAATTGAGCTTTTGCTTCTAGAATCTCTATCCTGTTCCATTGGTCTGTATGCCAATGTTCTTGTACCAATACCAGGCTGTTTTGATTATCGTAGCCTTATAGTAAAATTTGAAGTCAAATTGTGATACCTCTTGCTTTGTTTCTTCGCTAAGAATTCTTTTGGCTATTCGTGGTTTTTATGTTTTCATATGAATTTCTGTATTGTCTTTTCCAGGTATGAGAATGATGTTGGTAATTTAATGGGTATTGCATTGAATCTGTAGAATGCCTTTGGTTGGTTGGACATCTTAACAACGTTGATTCTTCCTATCCATGAGCATGGAATATTTTTTCATTTGTTTGTATTTTCTTGGATTTCTTTGAGCAGTGTTTTGTAGTTCTCATTGTAAAGGTCTTTCACTTCTCTGGTTAGGAAAATGCCGAGGTATCTCATTTTTTTGTGTGGCTATTGTAAATGGGATTGTGTTTTTTATTTGGTTCTCTGCCTCCTGCTTGCTGTTGTTGTATTAGAATTCAACTGTCTTTTGCACATTTGTTTTGTGTACTGAGATTTTGCCAAAATCCTTTAGCAGTGCAAGCAGGTTTTTTACAGATTTTCTTGGATTTTTAAGGTATAGAATCATATCATCAGCAAAGAGAGATAACTTGACTTCATCTTTTCTTATTTGGATACCCCTGATTTCCTTCTCTAATTGTTCTAGCTAGGATTTCCAACACAATGCTGAATAAGAAGGGTGAGAGTGGGAAACCTTGTCGTGTTCCAGTTTTCAAGGGATATGTTTCCAGTTTCTGTCTGTTTAGAAATATGCTAGCCGTGGGTTTATTCGACGGTGCTTACTATTTTGAGGTATGTTCCTTCTATACCTAGGTGTTTGAGGGTTTTTATCAAGAAGATATACTGGATTTTATCAAAAGCCTTTTCTGCATCTAATGATATAATCATGTGGTTCTTGTTTTTACATCTGCTGATATACTTAATTGCATTTATGGTTTTGCAGATGTTGAAACAGCCCTGCATCCTGGGGATGAAGCCTACTTGGTCATGGTGGATGGTTTTTGAGATGTGTTTTCAGATCTGACTTGCTAGAATCTTATTGAGGATTTTTGCATCTATGTTCATAAGGGATATTGGCCTGTGGTTCTCTTTACCCAGTTTGGGTGTCAGTGTGATGTTAACTTTATAAAATGATTTGGGGAGAATTCCATTTTTCTCAATTTCCTATAATACTTTCAATAGGATTGGTGTCTATTCCTCCTTGTACATTTTGTAGAATTCTGCTGAAAAGCCATCTGGTCCAAGGTTTTTTTTTTTGTAGGTATTTCTTATGACAGAGCCAATTTCCTGGGTTGTTATTGATCTATTTAGTTTCTTAGTCTCTTCTTTTTTCAACCTGCAGAGCTTGTGTGATGTCAGAAAGTCTTTTTCATTTAGGTTATCAATTTGGTTTCCATACAGGTGTACATAGTAATTTCTGATAAATTTTCAAATTTCTTCAGGGTCAGTAGTGTTTTGATCTTTTGTATTTCTTATTGTGTTTATTTGGGCTTTTTCTCTCTTTTTTCTTTGTCATTCTGGCTAGGGGGTTCATCTAATTAATTCTTTCAAAGAACCAGCTTTTTGTTTTATTGATGTTTTCTATGATATTTTTGTCTTCTATGTGCCATATTTGGGCTTTT